GATGCATAGAACTGAGACCAACCATCTGACCAGTGCCATAAGATATGTTGGAGTGCTGCACTGAGATTGTTTACAGGATTTCTGAAGCTTACTCAGAATGATCACCAGATTTTTGGTCACTTCACTTTCGGAGGCCTATCAGGTCATTAGTTGGCCAACCAGGCCAGCTCTAGGAAGAGTCGTGTTTGTTCTATCTCAGAGCTCCGCAGAAATTGCTTTAGTCTCGTGATTTGAAATTTCTTCTGCAGCTGCATGTGCCTTGGCATTGTTGAGCCTCCTGTCTGCAGGTAAGTCAGGCTTATGCCAAAATGTGCATACAACATAAATGTTTTAATTTAAACTATAGACGCAAATGTATATTTTCACTTTAAAAATAGGATCTTACTGAAAATTGTCTCCTCTCATGAACAACTCTGATCCTGTTGTGTATCTTTCCAGAATCAAATGCTCAGCCTGATGGTAGGTTTGGTGGTTTATGTGTAAACAGCTCCTCGTCTTGCATCCCATCAGTGGCCTTACCCTTCCCTCAAACGCTGCAAGAAGTGGAGGTGCCAGTTGTGGGAAACAGACAGTGTAACTGCCTGAATGGAGTGGGCACAGTCACAGACAACATGATCTGTGCTGGTGTTCTGGCAGGAGGCAAAGACTCATGTCAGGTAGGCTTCCTCATCTCATTTGGTTACATAATCAGGTGTTTCAAAGATTCTCAGATGTGTCCTCTTCATCTCTACAGGGAGACTCCGGAGGTCCAATGGTGAGTAAACAGGGCTCTGTTTGGGTCCAGTCTGGAATTGTAAGTTTTGGTTTTGGTTGTGCTCGGCCCAATCTGCCAGGAGTCTACTCCAGAGTGTCCCGTTACCAGTCCTGGATCAAGTCCCGCATTCGCTCTAATAGTCCAGGATTTGTGCAGTTCATTTCCAGCAGGCTGGACTCTGACAGCAACTACACCTGTCCTGGTCTCTAACAAGACTCTTGAGTCTGAATATGAATGGGGAAAATAAATAAATAAAAATAAATTATATATATGTGTGTGTGTGTGTATAAAGCTTTAAGACTGGGTGTGTTTGGATCTCACTGATTATGAATCCTGTTTTACATCCACAGGGACATAAGAGCAGAGTCTTCATGGTTACAAGTTGCTGTCGTAACAATCAATGGACGTAAACTGAGCCATGCAGATGTTGACATCTTTACCAAAACTTCGATAGTTGGGTCATTCTTACAGGAGATTTGTTAGTGAAACATCACCTCCTGCAGCACTTTTTAAAAGATGTCACCAGATTACAGAGTTTCCTTATTGCTGCCTTTTGCTGTCATCATTACCTCCATGTTCCTGTTGTCCACCCATTCATATTTATTTAATGTACTGATTATGCTCAGATCAAAACGAAAAAACTAATACACATAAACATTTCAAAAGAAGTTTACATTTCTAACTAGAAAACTTCATTATTTTGAAGTGTTTTGGTATGTTTCTGTGAGCTAATTATACATAAATATGTCTGTTCTGTGCATTCTGAAGCTGTTGTCTAAAAATGGTGTAAATTTAAGTACAAAATCAAAATGTAATTCTAATTACATCATGACTATATTGAACGTTGATTAAGCATAAAAATGATGTTTTGAGATATTTCAGAAGCAAATATTATATATTTAATTTATTGATGAACAAAGCAATTTACATAATGAGTGACAGTTTTAACAAATTACAGCTGATTTCTTTCTCAAGCTAAATCTTTTTAAGCATATTTTTTTAATAATTTCACACAAATTTACATTCATCATACTCAAATGATGTTTGTAAAAAGATAAACATAGAAAATGTTAAATTTAGATGTGCAGTCATGAGCATATTCTTGATAAACTATTTTACATTTCCCACTATAATACTTCACAGGACATAATCACTCCATCTTCTCATATACATTAAACCTTCAGTCTATTTCATTTAGGGATCCAAATTATAAGAATAATACATCAGAATTCCTGATGATTTCTATTTTTCTATATGATTTCTAGAGACCCGTGTCCACTTGTGATATTTTGCCTTCAGGTACCTGTGTGATCTAAATAGTTAATTAACAATTGTATTTTCCTGCTCAGACAGACCCTAAAAAACTATAAGTCTAAAGGACTACATATGATATTTCCTTAAAGAAAAAATAAGTTAAACTTTGATGTCTTCAGGTTATTGTGTGGCCTCCTTTTGAGTTCTGACTGTGAACCTCATCATTCAGTAGAAAATGCGTAAATGAGGGAATGATGTCAGACACAGTAAACTGTTTTTTCTTTAGTCAGTCAAGTATATGGGCGTCACTAATTCTACAAAGCTAAAAAAAATAAATAAATCTGCAATACAAGGTCTGGTGGCTGAGGAAAGTAAAGTGAATTAATATTTTCTTATTCAGTTGTGGTTGCACCTCCATCCGTACCTGGACCCTCTGCTTCTTCCTGATTTTGTTTTATCATCTCTTTGTAATCACTCTTGAAATATCCAGCCTAGGAAGACAAAATGTATTGTGTAAAATGATTGTATTCACGTATTAGAGTCGCACCATGAATAATGAAAAGAACTAAAAAATAATCAACGTTTAAGAAATTTAAATCATGTATTCTCTTATTTCATGAAGCTGTGTGAGTGACTGAAAAAACAGAAGTATAGACTTTCTCACCTTGTACAGGCAAACAGTGAATAAAGCAGTAACAGCCAAACCTCCAATGTATCCACCAATTATCTCTTTAATGTAATCTGGTTCAGAATACACTTTTATCTCTTCCTCAATCTAAGAGAGGAATCAACATATTTTAATAAAATTCATCATTTTGTTAACTTAAATGAGAGAAAATAATGTGTAATCACCTTGTGGACAGGAGGATTATTTTTCGTCCACGCTGAAAAGTAGATGTACTGGTTTTTGTCATACTCCAGACTAGCTGTGCTGGTTAAGAGGAATTTCACAGATTGAAATCCAATCTAAGAAAAAAAAAATAGAATGAGATGAGCCTAAATTAGATATGCATTGCTGTTTAATTTAGGAAGAGATATATATGGAGTCAGTTGTTTTAATTCTAAAAATATTTACTAATACAACACTTAACATAAAATACACATCAATTACCTGCTCTATCCATCCTGAACTGAAGTTGGCAGAAATTTCATACATCCTACTCTCCCATATTCCCATGAAGGTGTTGCACTTGAACACTCTGCACGTGGCCACAGAGCAGTCCTGTGGGTGATTTAAAGAAGACTGAATGTAACCAAGCTGTGATTCAGAGTAATATAATTTTATATACACGTATTTAGAATTAGGTTAAATTACAGCAGGAAAAGTGTGGAAGCATACTTACCACTACTTTATGTTTTTGTATTTCAGCAACAAATTCTCTGTTAAGTGGTTCTTCATCATTTCCTCTCTGACAGTTTGCAATCTGAAAATAATTTTAAGTGTTTTTGATTCATCCTAATGTTAGTCAGCAGCTAAAACGTCTGACACATAAATTACCTGTAGGCTGCTCAAATCCACCCAAATGTCTTTTTCACCAAGCTTCACTGGAACCCTGATCACCACAGTGAAATTAAATGCTCTGATATAGTTTGTAATCTAAAAGAAAGAAAAAATAAAAATAACCACTGTTAAAATTAAGATTTTATAAATCAGCTTTAACTAATAGTTTGTTTGTTTTTTGTGAAATAATAATAAAATAAAAATGAATTAAATGGTTAATAATTGATGTATTGAAAATGATCTTGACAGTCGATTTAAAGTTGATATGGAGTTTCAAATACATAAAAAGGTTAATAAACAAATTGTAATTTAGATTTAAAAATTATTTGGAGAGCTGTTATAAAGTAGAAAGTGAATGTTATAATATTTGTTTAATAAAGAGTAAATTACAGACAGTATAAAAGATGTAACTTGTGTTTTGACTGCTGCCAATTTGGTGTTATATAACCGGTTGTCACAAGCATATGAATGGATACACATGACTACGACATGTCCACAATGGTTCAACATTAACTTGGATTAAGCAGCAGCTTTCGCTCTCTGGGCTCACTGATCAGTAATGAAATCTTTATCACAAAATGTGTCTGATCAGCTTTATTTATTACAACAATTGCAGAAATTACATCATAACTAATGTTTAGTAAACTACATTGCTTTCATTGCTTGTTAGTATTAAACTTTACTAAAGGTTACCCTCTTAATAATGAGAGTTAAAACATATAACCAGAAAGACACAATCAAGCATTAGGCTCAGGACTGACACAGTGCAATGAACTTGCTATGTCGATATTAGATGAAGTCATGTTTTTACCTTGATTATTTGTTGGAATGCTTCCTGTGAATTATTCATTCCAGGGGTGAAATTATGGCTGCTGAAGGAGCTTTACATGATAATAAAATAATAATGAATAAAACATTTTTGATAACATTTTAAAGTTGTATTACTTTGCAAATAATTCATGCTATATCAAGTAAAACAGTTCATACCTTTCAAATGTGAGAAAAATGCTGTATTTCACATCAATTGATTTCTGTTTGTAGAGTTCACTTGTAGTGGCATGCTCCTGATTTCCACTGCAAGAGAGAAAAAAAAAAGGTTCTGCATCTGTGAAGCCATTGTATAAATTCAGAGTATCTGTACCAAAGGAACAGTACCTGGTGGCATTTGCAGTGACAAAGATCTCCCTCTCAAGTTGACTGTTTGTTTCAATCCCATATGTGATACTGAAGAAAACCTTAATTGAAATAGAGAGAGATCAAATTGTCTCGTATCTTTTTAATAAACTGTTTAGAAGTGAGCAAGCATACTCTGTACAAAAAACAAACCTTAGTTTTGCTCTTGAAAATTGGCTTGTCAATAGTGCAGTCTGTCCTTCCTCGGGATAAACCATCTTCACTGTCCAAGGAGTTGCACCCAATTCTTCCCTTTGTTATAAAAATAAAATTACTGCTGGATGTATTGAAAGAGCAGCAGATCAGTGATGAACTGATACAGACTTGATCCTGTTACCTTACCTGCTGACTCGTGAACTTCCTGTAGGAGAGTCCAGCTGGGTACGTGAGAATAACACGACTGTTGTAGGAGTTTTCTCCTCTATTCTCCACTGAGACTGTGACAACCAAAAGCTCATCAATACCCACTTTAACCTCTGAGGATCTGTGGAGTATGAAGCTGGATGAGAATAAAGGGAAAACAAAACAAGACTACAGCTAGGGCTGCTCAATTAATCGAATTTTAATCTAAATTACGATCTGGGCTTTCAACGATCATTAAAAATGACTGAGCCGTGCTCCCTCGTGCTTTACTCTCGCGCTGCTCCGTGTGGCAAATCGAGCGTACCTCTCTGTGTTTCGAACACATGTCACAACAATTAACAGGACCAGAGGGAAGCTCGGAAAGCTAAGCAGAAGTTATTTGCAGATGAGAGAATAATGGCTGCTGAAGAAAGAATGCCATTGGTTGAAAAGAGAGGCAAAACGACTTCAGTGGTGTGGAAACATTATGGGTTCGCGGGGTCAGACATGGATTAAGTAGACATAGTGTGTAAACCTTGCTACGGTGTTGTAGCTGCACCACAGAACAACACTACAAATTGACATACCTCAATGTCAGTTTGATGCAATTGTGCATTGTACATTGCACAGCTTGACTTGATGTTTGGTTATTTGTATGCATAAAAATTATGCAGTATTTTGAAGTTCACTAAACATAGATGTTTACATTTTTCCTTTATTTTTTATATTGCAAACATTTGCACTGTTATCAGTATTTGCACACTATTTTATATTATTTTTTGACAATCTTTAAAGCCATTATTCAGTACTCTGTCATTGTTAAATAAATATCGTCAAATCATCAAGATCTCAATTTCAGTGAAAATAATCGTGATTATCATTTTTGCGATAATCGAGCAGCCCTAACTACAGCCATACTAATGTCACAATATACCAAATATAATGTACTTTGAGCTTTGATAAACCATGCAAATTTTAGCTCAGTAAAAATGGCTGTTCTAAGATAATGATGCTAAATGAGAACATATTTTTACCATCCCTTTTTAATCAGTTAACATTCTAATATTTTCTGGTTATCACAAAACACAAATAACAACTGAGTGTCACCAGTTTCCGAAATATTAATGATGGTTGTATAAGGACAAGTTAAATGACAAGTAAATAATAACACATTTGAAGAAAACGAGACACACAAGGAAAGCTTAAGTTTTGTAACTGTGCCTGACCTGGTGAAGTTGAAATCCAGTTTCAGGTTATCAACACATTTGTTATCAGTGCCACAGTTGATCTCAAACCCTAACTGTGGAAGAGAGCATAATGGAAAAGTACACATTATACATTATTTAAAGACTAAATAAGTGGTTGTATGGTCATCCAATTTTATTTTTTTATTTACAGTTTTAACTGTTATTTATATAGCATATTTCATTATATATAAATTCAATGTGCTACCACCAGAGATGTAATCTGATTACTTTTTTCAAGTAACAATGTAAGGGATTACTATTGCAAAAAAGTAATTAGATTACTGTCACTTTCCAGTAAGCACACTGCGTTACTGCATTACAGAACCGTCAGGATTCTGTTTGTGAGAGTGTCTCATGACAATGATATAAGTGCATACGACATCCTTGGCAGCAACAGACGTGTGTAGATCAACAATGGATAATATGAATTGCAGGAGAGAGTACGACCATGCAGCGTTTAAAGTGTTGACGTACTTACATTACTTTAAGTTTTATCCCATAAAAAAGTGACAATAACATTAGCATCCGCTGTACACTGTGTGTGGGAAGAAAACTTCTTTCTACAGCAAAAAATTAACCTTCAAATCTGAGCAAACACCAAGCACACTGCCACGGGAATGTGAAATTCACAGAGAAACCCCCGGGTACCTCCACTGACATGACACTGCGGCACCAAGCAAACCTCCACCCGCCCCTCTCCTGCTAAACCAACAGACAATGTGCTAAACAGGTGACAACAGGTTTAAGAGCGACAGGTCTTAGTGCTGCTGAATCTTTGATTTTATTTATTTTTTGCTGAATTTTACTTGCATCTATTTGAAAGACTGAGTGTAAACACAAAACATTATTTTATTTTATATGCTGGAATATGCAGAAAATAGGTTTAACAAATTTCCCACCTGTGGGACTAATAAAGGTCATCTTATCTTATCTTATCTTTTTTTTTTTTT